GATCACCATAACAAATATGGTAATCATGAAATAGTTTGAAATATTGTGAGAATTACTAAAATGTGACACAGAGACACAAAGTGAGCAGATTGGTAGGAAAACGGAGCCAAAAGACTTAGTCCAAACAGGGTTGTCACAAACCTTCAGTTTGTTAAAAAAATGCAGCTTCTAGGAAGAACAATAAAGCAAAGCACAAATAAAACAAGCTATGCCTAAGGAATGTTTTTAAAGTGAAGAATCTTGAAGAATCTTGAAGAAACTAGAATATAGTTATTTTTTAAGAACAGAGGAAAAGATGAATCTGTCCAGGCAGGACTAAGTAGAGTGGTGAGAAAAGAGGGTAAAAAGTAGGAGGCTTGGAACGGAAAAAATCACCTCAAAAAAAAAAAAAAAAGAACAAGAGGCAGTAGTGACTGCCAGGGACCTAATCAATACGGACATTAGTAAGATGTCAGAAATAGAGTTCAGAATGATGATTTTAAAGATACTAGCTGGGCTTGAAAAAAGCATGGAAGATATTAGAGAAACCCTTTCTGGAGAAATAAAAGAACTAAAATCTAACCAAGTTGAAATCAAAAAGGCTATTAATGAGGTGCAATCAAAAATGGAGGCTCTATCTGCTAGGATAAATGAGGCAGAAGAGAGAATTAGTGATATAGAAGACCAAATGATGGAAAATAAAGAAGCTGCAAAAAAGAGAGATAAACAACTACTGGATCATGAGGGCAGAATGCGAGAGATAAGTAATATCATAAGATGAAATAATATTAGAATGGACAGATCTGAAATGGACAGATCATCTAAGCAAAAGATCAACAAGGAAATAAAGACTTTAAATGACACAGTGGACCAAATGAACTTCACAGATATATTCAAAACATTCCACCCCAAAGCAACAGAATACACATTCTTCTCCGGTGCCCATGGAACATTCTCCAGAATGGATCACACCCTAGGTCACAAATCAGGTCACAACCAGTACCAAAAGATTGGGATAATTCCCTGCATATATTCAGACCACAATGCTTTGAAACTAGAACTCAATCACAAGAGGAAAGTCAGAAAGAACTCAAATACATGGAGGCTAAAGAGCATCCTGCTAAAGAATGAATGGGTATGCCAGGAAATTAAAGAAGAATTTAAAAAAATTCATGGAAAGAAATGAAAATGAAAACACAACTGGTTCAAAATCTTTGGGATGCAGCAAAGGCAGTCCTACAAAGAAAATATATAGCAATACAAGCCTTTCTCAAGAAACAAGAAAGGTCTCAAATACACAACCTAACCCTACACCTAAGAACCTGGAGAAAGAATAGCAAAAAAAGCCTAAACCCAGCAGGAGAAGAGAAATCATAAAGATCAGAGCAGAAATCAATGAAATAGAAACCAAAAGAACAGTAGAACAGATCAACGAAACTAGGAGCTGGTTCTTTGAAAGAATTAACAAGATTGATAAACCCCTGGCCAGACTTATCACAAAGAAAAGAAAAATGACCCAAATAAATAAAATCATGAGTGAAAGAGGAGAGATCACAACCAACACCAAAGAAATACAAACAATTATAAGAACATATTATGAGCAACTGTATGCCGGCAAATTAGATAATCTGGAAGAAATGGATGCATTCCTAGAGATGTATAAGCTACCAAACCTGAACCAGGAAGAAATAGAAAACATGAACAGACTATAACCACTAAGGAAATTGAAGCAGTCATCAAAAATCTCCCAAAAAACAAAAGCCCAGGGCCAGATGGCTTCCCAGGGGAATTCTACCAAACATTTCAAGAAGAATTAATACCTATTCTTCTGAAACTGTTCCAAAAAATAGAAATGGAAGGAAAACTTCCAAACTCGTTTTATGAGGCCACCATTACCTCGATACCAAAACCAGACAAAGACCCCATCAAAAAGGAGAGTTACAGACCAATATCCTTGATGAACATGGATGCAAAAGTTCTCACCAAAATACCAGCCAGTAGGATCCAACAGTACATTAAAAGGATTATTCACCACGACCAAATGGGATTTATCCCTGGGCTGCAAAGTTGGTTCAACATCCACAAATCAATCAATGTGATCCAATACATTAATAAAAGAAAGAACAAGAGCATAGGATCCTCTCAATAGAGGCAGAAAAAGCATTTGACAAAGTATAGCATCCTTTCTTGATCAAAACTCTTCAGAGTATAGGGATAGAGGGTACATACCTCAATATCATAAAAGCCTTCTAAGAAAAACCCACAGTGAACATCATTCTCAATGGGGAAAAACTGGGAACTTTCCCCCTAAGGTCAGGAACATGGCAGGGATGTCCACTATCACCACTGCTATTCAACATAGTACTAGAAGTCCTAGCCACAGCAATCAGACAACAAAAAGAAATAAAAGGCATCCAAATCAGCAAGGAAGAAGTCAAACTCTCACTCTTTGCAGATGATATGATACTTTATGTGGAAAACCCAAAAGACTCCACCCCAAAACTGCTAGAACTCATACAGGAATTCAATAAAGTGGCAGGATATAAAATCAATGCACAGAAGTCAGTGGCATTCCTATACACCAACAACAAGACAGAAGAAAGAGAAATTAAGGAGTCGATCCCATTTACAATTGCACCCAAAACCATAAGATACCTAGGAATAAATCTAACCAAAGAGGCAAAGGATCTGTACTCAGAAAACTATAAAATACTCATGAAAGAAATTGAGGAAGACACAAAGAAATGGAAAAACGTTCCATGCTCATGGATTGGAAGAACAAATATTGTGGAGATGTCAATGCTACCTAGAGCAATCTATACATTCAATGCAATCCCTATCAAAATACTATCAACTTTTTTCAAAGAAATGGAACAAATAATCCTAAAATTTGTATGGAACCAGAAAAGACCCTGAATAGCCAGAGGAATGTTGAAAAAGAAAAGTAAAGCCGGTGGCATCACAATTCCAGACTTCAAGCTCTATTACAAAGCTGTAATCATCAAGACAGTATGGTACTGGCACAAAAATAGACACATAGATCAATGGAACAGAATAGAGAACCCAGAAATGGACCCTCAACTCTATGGTCAACTAATCTTCAATAAAGCAGGAAAGAATGTCCAATGGAAAAAAGACAGTCTCTTCAACAAATGGTGTTGGGAAAATTGGACAGCCACATGCAGAAGAATGAAACTGGACCATTTCCTTACACCATACACAAAAGTAGACTCAAAATGGATGAAAGACCTACATGTGAGACAGGAATCCATCAAAATCCTAAAGGAGAACACAGGCAGCAACCTCTTTGACCTCAGCCGCAGCAACTTCTTCCTAGAAACATCACCAAAGGCAAGGGAAGCAAGGGCCAAAATGAACTATTGGGACTTCATCAAGATAAAAAGCTTTTGCACGGCAAAAGAAACAGTCAACAAAACCAAAAGACAACCGACAGAATGGGAGAAGATATTTGCAAATGACATATCAGATAAAGGGCTAGTATCCAAAATCTATAAAGAACTTCTTAAACTCAACACCCAAAGAACAAATGATCCAATCAAGAAATGGGCAGAAGACATGAACAGACATTTCTGCAAAGAAGACATCCAAATGGCCAACAGACACATGAAAAAGTGCTCAACATCTCTCGGCATCAGGGAAATCCAAATCAAAACCTCAATGAGATACCACCTCACACCGGTCAGAATGGCTAAATTTAACAAGTCAGGAAACGACAGATGTTGGCGGGGATGTGGAGAAAGGGGAACCCTCCTACACTGTTTGGGAATGCAAGCTGGTGCAGCCACTCTGGAAAACAGTATGGAGGTTCCTCAAAAAGTTGGAAGTAGAGCTACCCTATGACCCAGCAATTGCACTATTGGGTATTTACCCCAAAGATACAAATGTAGGGATCCGAAGGGGTACATGCACCCCAATGTTTATAGCAACAATGTCCACAATAGCCAAACTATGGAAAGAGCCAAGATGTCCATCGACAGATGAATGGATAAAGAAGAGGTGGTATATATATACAATCGAATATTATGCAACCATCAAAAGGAATGAGATTTTGCCATTTGCAACAATGTGGATGGAACTGGAGTGTATTATGCTGAGCAAAATAAGTCAATCACAGAAAGACATGTATCATATAACCTCACTGATATGAGGAATTCTTAATCTTAGGAAACAAACTGAGGGTTGCTGGAGTGGTGGGGGTGGGAGGGATGGGGTAGCTGGGTAATAGACACTGGGGAGGGTATGTGCTATGGTGAGCGCTGTGAATTGTGTAAGACTGTTGAATCACAGACCTGTACCTCTGAAACAAGTAATATATTATATGTTAAAAAGAAAAGAAGAAGATATTAGGAAGGGAAAAATGAAGGGGACAAAATCGGAGGGGGAGACGAACCATGAGAGACTATGGACTCTGAGAAACAAACTGAGGGTTCTAGAGGGGAGGAGGATGGGGGGATGGGTTAGCCTGGTGATGGGTATTAAAGAGGGCACATACAGAATGGAGCACTGGGTGTTATACGCACACAATGAATCAAGGAACACTACATCAAAAACTAATGATCAATGTATGGTGATTAACATAATAAAAAAAAGTAGAAGGCTTGGAAAAAATAAATTTAATTTTTTTTCTCTATATTGGGTACAGAAAGAAGTAGTAAAGAGGCTCTTAGAGAGGGGACATGTTTCCCCAGGACTGGCTTGCCTTCCATTCCTTCTGTAGCAAATCCAAACAGTGTGCACTTCAAACTTACTTCAGCAGGTTTTAGCTGAATGTTCAGTTTGAAACCTTTTTCTTTTGTGAATAGATAATACTCAGCCCCGAATAATCTCCCTTTCTACTTACTTCCCTCCAGTTATGTCGTAGTCACCTTTTTAACCTCATAAGGAAAGATATTTTTAATTTTGTAATTTGTACAACATCTTGTGTAGTGCCATGTGTATAACCAATGTTTAATAAATGGATGAATAAAATACTAACCCAGATTTTCTTTTTGCCTCAACAGTTACCCTGGAATTTCAACACCTTACAAACACAGTAGTTTTGAGAAAACAGCCTGGTTTGCTGGACTCCAGACACTTAGCTGGAGGAACTTGTGCTACTTGGCATAGTTTGCAGTCATGGTGCATTTTGAAAATGAAAGCACAAGGGTTCTTCTTGAACATGTCAGAATTGTTTATTTTTTTCTTTCCTGTTGCTATTAATCATTGTCTTACTTTTGAAGATGTAACTTAGAAAAACATGTTTTATCTCACTTATATATAGAATCATGTATTCAAAGAAGTCCAAGTGATGATCAAAAACCCTCGAAGAATACAGTATCGATGGGTTCATAATTATATAATGCCATTGAATTCAGTTTTCCTTTTAGTATCTTACTTGACAGATTTTTTTTCTTTCTTAAAAATTTTGAAAAAAATGACAAGGGAAAGGAGCAATTCAAGTATTTCTAATTGAAGTAGAAGCACTTCTTCTCAGTGATCTAAGCTTCCAGAAAAAAAAAAAAATCTGGAAAAAGAAGAGAATATTAAACACAGAGTAAAGTAGAAGAAAAAAAGAAATATAAAGTAGAAATCAATTAAATAAGAAAAAAGTCAAAACCTAGAAAGATGAAAGAAACCAAAAGCTGTTTTTTGAAAATTTGTAAAAATCCAGCCAGGCTATTCAAAAAGGAATGAAATTAGAGATGGAGACAGAGATAGAGACAAAGAGAGAGAGACAGAGACAGAGATGGAGACAGAGACAGAGTGGAGACAGAGATAATAAGACCTGAAGTTCTGATCCTGTTTCAGTATCTCTAGAGCTGCATGGTGTCACTGCTCACACGGGTATTACAGAATAGAGGCAAACCTGGATGCTAAATCTCTCCTTTGTCAGACCCCCTCCGCAGGGGCTGGCTCACTGTTCAGAACTGCTCCGACTTGATTAGTTCAGAGGGTCCCTCTCTCCCAATTGGAACTTTGCCTGAGCATGGCTACTAATTCTTGTATCCTTCTCTCCAGCCTTGGAGTTTGCAGTTTTGCCTAGCTGGACTGCTTGCCGTATTTATCGATCCACCTATGACTATAAAACAACCATTTGTTCCTTTGTTAACAGCGGATTTGCTTGTGGTATCTAGATCTGTTTCTATGCCTATGAATGAAAGCATTAGACTGTACATCATGGTTATTCGTTCTGAAAAACCACCCCGAATTTAGCAATGTAAGACAGCAAACATTTCATTATGCTTGTGGATTCTCTGGGTCAGGAGTTTGGAAAAGGGACGACACTGAAGGCTTGACTCTGCTCTCTAATGTCTGGGGCCTCAGCTGGGAAGACTGCACGGCTGGGGTTGCCTTGAGGAATAGAGACTGGAATCATCTGAAGGCTTGTTTATTCGAATACCTGGTCCCTGGGCAAGAAGAACGCCAAACTGGGCAGCCAACCAGAGTGCCTCCGCTTGGTCTCTCCAAGTGGTTTGGCTTCTTTAATAGCATGGTGGCCTCGGTGTACATGCTGGCTCAGGAGTCCAAATGCAAGAGTTCTAGATAACAAGGTACAAATGGGATCACCTTTTCTGACCTAGCCTCGGAAGTCATGCAGCTTACCCTATGCCTCAATATGAAGCCTACCTATATTCAGAAGGTGGTTCATAGACCCTACCTTTTGATCAGATTAAAGGTCTTGCTGTAGATGAATATGGGAGGTAGGAGATATTTGTGGAAACTCCAGTCTGCCACACGATCTGAATAGAACTGGCAATAGAATTTTAGCATCCATCTTCCTCACTCTGCCCTCATTTTCATCTCTACAGTGGCCTCCTTCACTTCAGCCACATTTTATGGTAATAGTTCAAAGAATCAAGTGGGATCAACTTTTATAATTACATAGTTGTGTGTGTGTATTTTCTATAGCTTTCCAGGGACAAAGAAGGAAATGCATTATTATAATTTTAAAGACTTACTGCTGGACGCTTGGGAGTAAAGCTGAATATAGAAAGCACATTGCTAATCAAATTAACTTATAACATTTATTTTGAAAGTTTGATAATCAAGAAAAATTTTCTCCCTTTAATTGTAAAGTAAAAATCCAGGCTTATATTTTATTCAAAATATAAGGAGTCATAATAAGCCACTTTAAGAAAAGTATTATGTATTTTAATTATTTTGTTCCAGCATGTGAACTTCAGTTGTAAGATAATTAAATGCATACTTAACCATCGTGTTCCCTCTTTCCTTCAGATACTACATGGGTACTGGGTCTGCAAGGGTGAATCGGATGTAGATTGATGCTGTCTTTAATGGAGTGTTTAGTCTAGCTGGGTAGGAGATACAGAAATAGGTAATGAGAGTTTTCATATAAGTAAATACCTAAATGAATATGCAAGTCGTGACAAGCAAAGGGAAGAAAAAGGATCAGGTACCACAAGAAAGAATTAAAAAGAAAAAGCCTATTTAGATTAGATGAGCCAGGAAAGAAATCATTGAGAAACTGACAGTTAGTTGGTACCTGAATGATGCTAACTAGTTTGGCAATTTTAGGAAAAGCTTTTAGGAAGAGGGAAGAACTTTTTCAGAGGATCTGAGTCAAATAAAACTCTGTTAGATTTTATTTATGATTGATTGATTTCAGGAACTGTGAAAAAGACAAAACATTGATGTTTGTTTTTTGTTGTTATTGTCGTTGTTTTAAGAGAGAAAGACAGGAGGGGGAGAGGGAGAGAATCTTAAGCAGGCTCCAGGCCCAGTACGGAGCCTGACGCAGAGCTCTGTCTCACAACCCTGTGATCATGACCTGAGCCCAAATCAGGAGTCTGACACTTAACCAAATGAGAGCCACTGATAAGTTTTCAACAGAGAAGAGAGGTGCTCATATCTTTTTCTCTGGCTGCCGCTATACAGAAAATAGACTGGGGCAGGGCAAGAATGGATTGGTCTTTGCTGATATGTTTGTGAGGATGAAAAGAAAAATTAACTGAGAAAAGAATTTATAAAGGAGAAGAAATGGAGGACCTTCTCAAATTTCCGAACTGCATAGAAATCACTGAGCCCTTAATCTCATCTGAGAGGCATAAAGGGCTGTATGAGTCTATACACAATACCACAGGAGAATTCCCTAAGCTACTTGTAGATTTCCTGAATTCTTACCTCCTGCCTTTGCACACACTGTTAATTATAACTCCCAGAGAAAGCCCTCCTCTCTCTCATTATCTGTTGAAATCGTAACCATCTTTCAAATTTCGATTTAAATGCTTCCTCCTCCAGGAAAGGCTGATGCCCCTACCCAGTTATTTCCTCTTCCCCAACTCCAACTCTCTTGCACTTACTTTTTAAAAAAGTTATTATTAAAGTATAGTTGACATATAACTAATGTTATATTAGTTTCATGTGGACAACGTAGTGATTTGACAATTCTATACATTAATCAGTGCTCACCACGATAAGTGTAGTCACCATCTGTGTTTCTTATGTCATTTTTCTATTGACTGCAGACATAACATTTACTTTTATAGTGCACTGTTCTGGGTTTGATTCATTGTTGCAGACTCAAGGCCTAGCCATAGGCCAATATTTCCTGAATATCAGGAATTATTGAATGAAATTCAGGATATTCAGGAAATATTGAATGAACCAATTAATTTACAACTGAAATTTACATCCCGAAACATTATCACGAAAGTATATGATTTTTATTTTTTTAGAAGAGTGGGTTATTATGATTCCTTTTTTCTTTTCTTTTCTTTTCTTTTTTTTCTATTCCATATTTATTAATTAAATTCAATTAATTAACATATAATGTGTTATTAGTTTCAGGGGTAGAGGTCAGTGATTCATCAGTCTTATGTAATACCCAGTGCTCATTTCATCACGTGCCCTCCTTAATGCCCATCACTCAGTTACCCCATCCTCCCATTCCCTTCCCCTCCAGCAACCTCAGTTTGTTTCCTGAGATTAAGAGTCTCTTATGGTTTGTCTCCCTCTCTGATTTCATCTTGTTTTATTTTTTCCTCTCTTCCCCTATGATCCTCTGTTTTGTTTCTTAAATTCCACATCATATCAGTGAGATCATATGATAGTTGTCTTTCTCTGATTGACTTATTTCCCTTAGCATAATACCCTCCAGTTCCATCCACATCATTGCAAATGGCAAGATTTCCTTTTGTTGATTGTTGAGTAGTATTCCATTGTATATATATACTACATCTTCTTTATCCATTCATCTGTCGATGGACATCTTGGCTCTTTCCATAGTTTGGCTATTGTGGACATTGCTGCTATAAACATTGGGGTGCATGTACCCCTTCGGATCCCTACATTTGTATCTTTGGGGTAAATACCCAATAGTGCAATTGCTGGATCATAGGGTAGCTCTACTTCCAACTTTTTGAGGAACCTCCATACTGTTTTCCAGAGTGGCTGCACCAGCTTGCATTCCCAAACAGTGTAGGAGGGTTCCCCTTTCTCCACATCCCCGCCAACATCTGTCGTTTCCTGACTTGTTAAATTTAGCCATTCTGACCGGTGTGAGGTGGTATCTCATTGAGGTTTTGATTTGGATTTCCCTGATGCCGAGAGATGTTGAGCACTTTTTCATGTGTCTGTTGGCCATTTGGATGTCTTCTTTGCAGAAATGTCTGTTCATGTCTTCTGCCCATTTCTTGATTGGATCATTTGTTCTTTGGGTGTTGAGTTTAAGAAGTTCTTTATAGATTTTGGATACTAGCCCTTTATCTGATATGTCATTTGCAAATATCTTCTCCCATTCTGTCGGTTGTCTTTTGGTTTTGTTGACTGTTTCTTTTGCCGTGCAAAAGCTTTTTATCTTGATGAAGTCCCAATAGTTCATTTTGGCCCTTGCTTCCCTTGCCTTTGGTGATGTTTCTAGGAAGAAGTTGCTGCGGCTGAGGTCAAAGAGGTTGCTGCCTGTGTTCTCCTTTAGGATTTTGATGGATTCCTGTCTCACATGTAGGTCTTTCATCCATTTTGAGTCTACTTTTGTGTATGGTGTAAGGAAATGGTCCAGTTTCATTCTTCTGCATGTGGCTGTCCAATTTTCCCAACACCATTTGTTGAAGAGACTGTCTTTTTCCTATTGGACATTCTTTCCTGCTTTGTTGAAGATTAGTTGACCATACAGTTGAGGGTCCATCTCTAGGTTGTCTATTGACTCCTTTTTCCATAAGCCATCTGCAATCAATCCCTACCATGTATCTTCAATAGTGCCTCTATATTCAATAAATTAAATTTAAATAAGACTCATATTTTAAGTTTATTTTAAAAATGATTAACTAGGATTTACTCATTTACTTGAATGGTATGTATTCCTTTCTTACTGTCATTCTAAAAGAAAATTTGTATCGATAAAAACTACATTAAAAATGACACGTTGTTTTGTGCAGTGGCAGTATTGTAGCCAATGAGGTTTATCTAGAGCATGATTATTGCTAATTGAAAAATGACACAAACTCACAAAACAAAAGGAAAATCCATCTTAAATATCATTTTCCATTCCTAGACATCACTTAGCTAAGTAAATTGGTTAAACTGGTGATAAATTTAAGTTATCATTCATTCCATCTCTTAATGCCTTTAAGTCTATTTTTATTATTCAAGTCTCCAGTTCAATTGAATCATTAGAGGGATTACTTGCAAGCCTAGAGTTCTGCAGTATTATGTAATATTACTTGGAGTTTAGGATTAAATCAATACATGTGAAAGAGATTAAAAAATAAAGAATGAGAAATCAAGTGGTACTTGTACAATAGAAACAACACAAAATATTTTGTATTTAAAATAAAATAAGATGTTCAATTTAGGAATATGTAAAATTCATGTGCTAACAAGCACCTCATATGGTCCCTGAGGAATTATGACTAAATGACACACCCATACAGGAACTGATTGATATTTTTTTCAAGGCTTGTTCAGTAAGATCCAAGCACCAGAAAGCCTCTCCTAGATACTGCCTTGAAATCTACTAAGTGTAACTTATAGTATATTTCCAGTATTCACATTTGCCTGCAAGTTTATTAAACTTAAGAAAGAAAGAGATAACACTCCTATTTCTTCATTAATAAGTAAGCAAATAAACGGCAGGCTTATTTGGATCTCTTCAGAATTTCTTCCTTTTGCATAAGTACTATTTGTGATTTTATAATGGCTTAAACTTAGCTGTACTCAGTGCAGCATAAAAAGAAGCAGCTATTTAGCGGAATGAGGGTTGAAAAAAGCAATGTAATAAGTCACATGATTCAAATCTCTTCCTGGTTCCCTCACTCCCAATTATGTAAGCTTGAACTATGTTTTTTAATAACAAAGAAAGAAGACCCGTTTTCTTCTTTTGTCAGTTATACTGCTGGATCAATTAACCTTATTGTTTTGTTCCCTCTTCTCTTTCCATAGACTGCTTCCAAGTATAAGAAATGACAGTACCAACGTTCCGCTTGGTCACTAGCAATGCCTCAAGACTCTCTCTGTGACCTTATGTGCAATTTGCTTTAAAATTATGGCCATTATTAGTTCTATTTTTATCTAGGCTGATTGTGGATTAGTGTATTTGGAGGAAGGATTAAGTATTTTACCTGCTTGCATCAGAAGTATGTAAAGAGCACTTCTGGATAATATCAGGTAATAGATAATTAGTTTGGCACCTGACGAGAGTGAGGTCCGGACACTAGTATTTTATTACTTACTAACACAAGTGAGCATTCAGCTTTTGGGCCAGCTCAGATACCTGAAAAACAGCTACTCTGGCACATTTACAACGTGGTGAACAAATTTATGCAATTTTACGTCCCTCTGCTGATTTACCTGGAAAGACCATTATGTAAGATAATGAATTTAACAGATGAAAATCAGTAAATGCTTTTGCACACTGTCACTTTATATCATAAGGTATGATTTAGCATTTTCTCACCTAAACATATCCATACTCATGTGGCCTTTCTTTTGAATTGAAGACTTTCCTTGATTAATTTTCCCTTGAATATGGTATATATTTAACCAGAGTATTTTTACCTAAGTCAAGTGCATGTATTAGCCAGACATCTCAAATATTCAGGCTAAAATGGCAA